AAGTGAATCACAATAGATTTACCATTTTTATCCGATTACAATCCAGCGCAATCATCCTCATGGTATGAGTTTACTTTTGTACGGTTATAAAATTTTTTTTTTAAGAAAACAAAAAAGATAGCTAACATTAGGGCTTAAAACCCACCCCCTCTCTCTCAATATATGTATGAATTGATCATGAGTACATGCACATTTTTTAACATTTATTAAAAGGTTAAAAATGAAAAACGATAGACAGACAGCTAATCTTTATCTCACAATTAAATTTAATAATCATAAGTGACTATAATTATAATTGAATTTTTTCACACAATAAGATGTGTGAATTGATATATATATATATATATATATATGTATGTATGTATGTATGTATATATGTATGTATATTTGTGGGAATTTGATGGATGTCAATTAGAATTGTGTGTTGACTCAATGTACTCCAAGAGGGGGGGTGAATTGGAGTTTCAAAAATTCTCTCCTTTTTATAACCACAAAACCAAAATTAAAGAGAGTAAAGAAGAAGAGCTTACTCAATGATTTATAGAGCTTACTCAATGATTTATAGAGGTTCAGTCCAACCACTTAGAGCCTAATCATCTACCTTAGCTTCACTCACCAAGGATTTCCTCCACACTCTCCACTAATAACAACAAGGGTGGCTTAAAGGATCTACTCAATCCTTTTACAAGAATAAGGGTGTTTCTCTCAAATTTCACCCATTTATAAGATAAACCCAAACAATCCTCTCTACAAATCACTCTTGAAGGAATAGTCACACCCCCAAGATTACTCACAAATAGAACAAGAAGAGGATTATAAATAAAGATCTCTCAAAAATCAAAATCTCAAGTTAAAGCACAAGTTGGTAGGTAAAGATATTCAATACAATGCTCTCTAAACTTCTTCAAATCTGTTACCAATCATATTTATAGCCCCTTGCTCGAAAATAGTTGTTTTTAGCCGTTAGGGGTCATTAAATGCTCTGCAGGACGCATAGTTCGAGTTGCAGAACTGTCAATACAACCGGCTTAAGCTTTTAGAGCCGGCTCTGTAAAGCCAGCTTACACTTCCAGAGCTAGCTATCCGGGTTTGCAGCCCATTCTGTTTTTCTCGAGAGCCGGCTGCAAAACTTTGAGCCGACTTTGGAACTCCGACTTTAAATACATTAAATATTCTTCAAATAAGTCGACTGTTGTGCATTAAATGCGCCCTCATAGCCGGTTACAAAGTGAGAGCCGGCTCTGCTTCCATTTTCCGTATAAACCAAAACAGCAGTTGAATTTCTGGCCTGTAGAGCCGGCTCAACAAAATCTGAAGCCGGCTCTCTACATTTTTGCTTCCCAGAGCCAGCTGCAATTTTCTTAAATCGGCTCTCTGCATATTTTTACCCTTTGAGCCCTTTTTAATGCAATTTCATTTTGCTTACTTTGCAGTATATTGGCTATTTAACTACACACTTAAATAAATCAATTAGTCACTCAAATGTGTTTTGTAATCATCAAAATCATAGGTACAACATTGTGTCTATATCAACTCTATTTACAAATGCAATTGATATATATAAAATTTTAAAATTCTTTAAAAGGTATTGATTATCCATATAAACTGTATATATTGTTGTTTTCTTGAAAAACATTCCTACATGTTAAGATAAATCGAAACCACAAGCATCATAAGTAAATTAACAAAGATGGTGGTTGAGAGCATGATAAAATATTTGGAGATAATGTAGGAAATCACTTCTTTGTAATTAAAGCCTCTATTATGGAAAGATAACGAAAAATGTCAATA